AGTTTTAAGGTCCCTTCCAACCCAACCCATTATGTGATTCTGTGGTGCGCAGTTTTCGGCCCGTGTTTGCGTGAGAAGCGGTGGCTGCTCTTGCACTGGAGAGCTGTACATGCAAGCAGCAAGACCTGACCGTGACCCTGGCCCACGAACCAGCCAAATTGTGCGGTGGGTCTCACCCCATCAGCCTGCCTTTTGCAGGGCACATTGGGGAGCCAGCGTGGGCAGCGTGTGCTCATCACACAGGAGCATGAGGGCTGCTTGGGGGGGTGTAGGGACGTGCCCAGGCTGCCCTGTTGGCAGACCTGTGTGAATTTGGGGTTTACTGCTGCGGAGGAGTAGAAGCTATTGCTGCACCGCTGCTGTCCGGTTGCTCAACCTTCAAGCTTTCTGTTCTCTTGCTAATCCGCATGTCTTTAGGTCAGACAGGTGAGCAAGAAGAACCAAGGTCAATGCTCTAAATTGTTTAAGGTGGTTCTTAAGACAACATGTAGACTATTTATAAACCAGGAAGTGTGTAATAACATTTGGAAAATTCTGGTCCAGGAAGCTTTTGACTTGTAAATTGTCAAGTGACATTTTACAAGTTATTAAAGCAGAATACAGCAGCTAAAATGGACATTTAGCTGTTGGTCATCTGCAGGGTTATAAAGTGGTTAATATTTACATAGGACTTATTTTCCCAGTGTTTAATCTCAGGCCTTTGGCTTTCAAGTTCATCTTTAACTTGATAGTTTTGGGACAGAAGACTGAACGGCCCGGTCAGTGATTAAAGATTTAAATATTTGCCTAATTCACAGAAAGACCCTGTTGCCCAAGATACCAGGATAGTTCACAAACTTCGCAAAGAATAACTGGAGTATGAAGGCATCCCCAAGTGGAATCTTATAGTGAGGTTGAAGTTCACAGATAGTAATTCTCAATTTTAATGAATTAATGGGTTTCCTTCTCAGGATTGAAGATTTCTCACATTCCTGGCAAATCTCTAGCACTAGGAATACGGGGGGTATTTTTTTTTTTTTTGCGAAGGAGTTACCTAGCTGTTTATTAACTTGTCTGGTGAAATCACTTCTCTGTATCTTGATATTGGAGCATGAGGTTTCCACTGAAGGAGCCATCAAAGAACAAGCTCGAAGAAAGATGTCACATTTGAGGCAGATGCATGCTATGCAAAGGTTATAATTCTGCAAGAGAAGTGAACTCATCTGCATATTCTGCTAGACTGCATGTTTTCAGAGAGTGGCTTGTCAAGGGAAGTATGTCTGGTATTTGGCCATAACAGGACTCGCAATCTTCTAGCACTTTTAAGGACCAAGCATTATTTTGCTGACCATCTGCCTCCAATTTATCAATCTGAAATTATCTCAAAGCAGAGATGATTATAACACTGAGTGGGGTCTCCTCTGTACCTTGTTAATGAAGCTTTTCCTCCTTTCTAGAACACGTAAGGAGTTGTCCTTCCTCTTTCATTTCTTTCTCATAATGTCAGGAGAAGCTAACCTCTGCTAAAATGTATGGCTGAAAGCCAGGGGCTTATAATTTCTGATTACAGAAGCACTTCTGTATGAGAAAAGCATTAATTGACCCCCCAGCACTCTTATGTTACTTAGTATTCTTCAGATCAGTGGATAGTAGAGTCTGAGTGAATGCGTGAATTGCAAGGAGATAGGATGACCCTTTGCCATTTTTCTTCTCATCCATGTAAATATGGTAAGAATGAGATAGGAAAAGGAAGATGTTAATTTTCCTAGGATTTTTTGCCAGCTGGTCAGTGGCGGTGTAGTTGTAGGTGGATAATCAGTGAAGCATCTCTTAGAAATGCGCTTGATATTGATTTTTCTTCTGGAGGGTGGGGGGGGTCTTGCTTTACCACTGCAAATGATCAGCAACAGATGAAGTGTTAGGAGTGCAAGTCCAAACTTGGTTTAAATGTTTTGGGTTTTTTTAATGATTCAGGTTTTTTGATGAAATGGCCATAGTGAAAATTAAACAAAACAAAATCACAAAAAGATGGATAGAGAAATGTCCAGCTGCAGGCAGACATCTTGTGAAAGCTACTCTGCTGCTGTCCATAAAGAGTCTGGCATTTCTTTATTTGATGGATTAGCGAGGCAACTTCTTCAAGCACTGTCTTGTGAGCACAGGAGAATCTTTAGTCTCCAGGTACAAGGTTAGATGTCAAGTAAAAGGTTGCAGGAGGGAAGCACCTAAGTTGTGTGACTTCAGAAACAGCCAGTGAAACCGTGTTTTAACATTTGTATTCCACAGTTGCTATATTACAACTTGTTAGTTCAAGAATTCTGAAGACAAAGATAGGCTATGGCTAACTAGCAAGAGAAACAGAAATTAGTGAACAGTGAAGTAACAGATAAAGAACAGCTGATTTTTAATGGGCTGTTGCAAGGTGAGACAGTGACATTATGTGTTTGAAATTAATTGAATACCAACCCAAAATGCAACCAATAATGTTGTCTGTAGCTGGGCCAGTGTTTGTGCCAAGTACATAGTAAGGAGTGTTTGCAGGCCACTTGGGTCTGTGCAGAGTCCTGGAGTGCCAAATGTTTCACTGCTACTCCCAGCTTCAGTGTCACCTTCCTGTTGTTGAGACATGCTCATGGCCTATCAGCAGAGTTGTTGCGCTACGTCCAGGAACACAGGGTTAGCCACCCCTTATGTCACCCACTCACCCCTGACAGTATTCCAGTTTTGCTCTCCACAGCCCTTTTTTCTTCCAAGAGCCAAGGATCACAGCCAAGCCACTTGCTCTTTTCAAGACAGCTGTTTGTCCTCTAGCCATAGTGGCAGAATCCGTCTGCCTCTGGGTACAGGTAGTGTTCTGTAGACAGTGCAGGGGAAAAATGGATTTATTTTTCCTTTTCCCCTAAGATGAGACCTTTATCTCTTCCCCTTTGCTCCAACTGTGTGAGGGGTTTTGTGATTTTTTTAGTAAATTGCATTAAGTCTTAATTCAGTGTTCTTTAGCTCTCTTTTGCCTGAATCATTGCCTAGCGTGTTGTCTGCCCAAACACAAGTCAGTATGGTAGGTTGATTTATGATACTGATGTTGAATCTTTTATTTTATCTTCCAGGTTGCGGCAGCCAGTGGTCACACTGTGGTGTTAGTAGACCAGTCAGACGAAATCCTTAAGAAGTCTACAAAAGGAATTGAAGAAAGTTTGAAGAGAGTGACAAAGAAGAAGTTTGCGGATAAGCCTGAGGTTGACATTGTCTTTATTCCTCTAGGAAAACTTAGGAGAATAAAAGCTACCATACTGAAGTTCTGAGATTTTTTTGCAGTTGTGCATTAGAGAGACTGTTAACGCGTCAGCTTAAAAAGAAAACTATTTCTGGTGTGCTGAAGAACTTCTGTTTCTGATTCAGGGAAGTGGAAAGATATCTTACCTTACTTTCTTTCCTTTGTAGACTTTAGCCTTGAGGTAAAGATTTAAAACAATTTGGTGACCTTTGTAACAGATACTAAATGGGAAATACTGCCAAATAATCAATCCTAATTTAAGGGCACAATACCTTTGAGTGCTTACCTGGGGGATGTACCAATTTGTCCAACAGTGAATAGTAACAAAATTGTTTTGATATGTTAGTAAGGAGACTTTCTCCCATGCCCCAAGACTTGGATGCAGGATTACTACAAAGTAAATGATAGTGCAACTTTAACTGCTCTGGAGTAACACGAATTAGATGTTTAAGGTACTTTGCATGCACATGACTGAGTAAGATTTACATGCAGCAGTTGATGCATCTAAATTTATGTCGTAAAGATTATTTGTTGCTGTGCTTGTTTCTCTAAATTCCACAACATATTCAATTCTTCTTTTGATACATATTAACATATATATTACATGCTGGTATTGATGATTACCAGCATGAATGAGGCAGCAAAGGAAATTTAAAAGGGCTTGTTTGCATGAGGAACTAGAGAAGAAAAATTGTAGTAATACCAGGATTGCCAGAGCATACATACATAATTATAGGGAATCTATTAATCCAAAATAAAATTGTCCACATACTTCTTGTATTTTGTATATGACATTATATTCTAGAGTGCAGGTATGTTTTTTAATTGCATGATGTCTCCATTTACCCTTTGTTCAAAGTCTTGAAACTCCTTGAAATGGTATATGCTTAATTGCATAAATTGCATTAATTGTTTGCTTTCTGTCCTCACAAACAGGTCAGTGATTGGCAGATTTACTAGTCAGAAAACAGAATATGTTTCCCCACATTTGCATGGAAACTTTAGTGAGTGTAGGTCATTTATTTTCCTGGAGTGTTCATGAACTAGCACATATGTGTTAATAGGAGTGCAACTGGATAATCACTGGATGTAAACAATGCAAAGGTTCGAAACTGGAAAAGTTCCTCATTATGGAGAGCAAGTCCAGGTTGTCTCAGAAACTACTGATTGACCAGCCAGTTGTTCATTCAAACTCTTATGCTGAAGGTTGGACTTCAGCAAATAGCCTTCCTAAAAGAATTAATTCAAAAGTCTCTTATTTGCTTCAAAGCAGATTTGATTGGCTAGGAAAATTTTGTCAGTGAAAGCATTATAACTGTACATACTTAGAACTTTCTTACTGATTTGGAAATGTGGCAGACTGCCTAAATTTTTGAGGGCTCAAAAACTCTTCAGAGCGTATAAGGGTATTTTCAGGTGAAAGTAAGTTAAATAATTGTAATCAGATGTTCCAACTTCTTGGAAATGTTTCAGGCTGGTGCCGAGTTCATTGAGAAGACCTTAAAGAACCTCACAACAAGCACAGATGCAGTAGCAGTGGTCCACAGCACAGATTTGGTGATAGAAGCCATTGTTGAGAACCAGGAAATAAAAAATGAACTCTTCAAGAGGCTGGATAAGTTTGCTCCAGAGTATGTGTATTTTTCCTGTTACATTTTGAAATTTAGACCTTTGTATCTTCTGTTTTTATTCTTACACCGTTAGTTCTGCATTTTCTTAGGTTTTTTTTATAACAGGAGTTTTTCTCCCTTGGACCAACTCCAGACTGTCATGTGATATGGAACAGTTGTGCCAGGTGCATATGTTACAAATGCTTTCAGCTGCTTTCAGTTCATTTACTTGTTGCATTGCTTCCTTTGATGTGGTTTCAGGTATGTTTAATCATAAAGCTTGTCCATCTAACTCACAAGTTCAAATCTAAATCCAAATGCAAATACACAACAGTAGAATAAGCTTGGCCTGGTACGTATGGGGTATGGTTAAATCCTATATTTAAATAGGAAATTGGGATGATAAAACATTTGCTTTCAGTGCGCCTGGCATGGACAAGTTTTAGGAAATCTCAGCCTCTTAGCCATACAGTCAGCTCAGCAGTTGCTTAAATTTACTCTGTATACCATGATTTTGGACATAGCTCATGGCTATTGTGTTTGAGGTAAAAGTGTAAATACTTCTTAGCATGCACTCATTCAGTTACTTACAGTCTCTGGAACTTTCTTTGAACTGTATTTGATAACTGCTGGAAGTTACTGTTGAATTGTATCCAAACCCAAAATGCCATTAAGCTGAGTATGCAAAAGCTGATCCTTGTAACAGATGACTCAGAATCATAAGACCTTGACTGCTTGCAGGTGGAGGCTTTAACCAGTACTGCTAAATCTGGGGATATTGGTTAGAGTTATTCTAGACTGTCTAACTAAAGAACTAGGCAGGCTGCACCTTAAATATGCTATCATTAATTTGACATCAGCCTGGGGAGATTTTCAGGCTGTCTCTTATGGTCGGTTATCTAAATTACCTGCTACTTCTGAAAACAATAAATGATCACAAACAGTTGTGTACCAAGCACAGGGTAACTTGCCATTACCCTTAGTCTGGCAGACAGAAGTAAGTAGCTGCCTTCAGCACTTATCATGGTACCTTGTCATGATAGATAGTGCTTATTTTGTGAAAACAGACCATTGGTTGCCCAAGTCTTTGTTCATATTCAGCAGAGAAAGCTAATGAGCAAATTAGAGTGTACTAAATGGCAAACTATCTAGAACCAGTCAGGAAGGAAAAGTGGGCACAGGGACTTGGAGACCTCTTTAATAATATGTTTGTTTGGAACACCTGAAGCTATTTTTTTGTAAGACTGAACATAGCTCATCTCAGCGAGCATAGCTGCCTTGAAACATCAAATTTTACATTATAAGAGTGTTGAAAGATACTGGACAATGTTCAGATAATACTCCTTCTTATGGCAAAAGGCATGATTTTGCAGGGTTGGGAAAAATGACATTAGACGAGAAGCCTTCCTTTTTAAAAGGAGAACTGGAAATGGTGATAAACATACAGATACATTACGTGGAGGATAAAGAAAAGGGTAACTGTCCAGGTGGAATAGGGCGTTCTGTTTCTTGGATGCCATCAATCTGAAAGCATGCTGGTTTATGTTCCTGGAGTTTGGCAATATTGCTTGTGTATGCTACATTCCTCTCAGTGTTACACTCATGCTCCCAATATGGTTAATTGTTACTGAGTTATGTGGTCATCATCTTCAGAGCAGGCGATTAAGTATGGTTGCCCACTCTTCAGTTTCATTTTCCTTTTGAATTGAGTCAGTCTCACATTTCTATTTTGAAAAGGTCGTGCTAGGGTTTTTGTAGAATATCCCCACGTTCTTTGTGGCCTTTAGGCATTTAAACACCACAGCACTTTTCCAAACAGGATCATAATGAACATGACAAAAGAATTTCAGGGTATCCATTTTAAGAGCTCTTGCCTACCTGCTTTCTGGGTGGCGGGAATGCCCATCAACATCTCCCAGTCTACGATTTATCTGTAGACATAGAAACCCAGCTAGGTACTGACAGTGGTTTTCAACTGTTCACTGTGTTACAATCAATGTGTTATGAAACTGTTGCAAAAGAAGCGTTGTTCAGTGTTCACTGTGCAACAGAGCTGGGCTGTAAGAGTAGGTTTTATTGAAATGGTGCATTTCTCTTGTGTGTGACTGTTTTTAATGCTGTCCCCTGACCCACTCGATGTCACCAAGAGAAAGCACACTGGTACCTGGGAAGGCGTCACTGGGGCATCACTAGTGCCGTTGCTTTTAAAAGCATTCCAGCTCTGGGTTTTATAGTTCTAAATCACAGAGGCATGTAAATTCTATTTTAAACTCAATTTGAATCAATTGGTTGGTCAAGGCAGAAAGTGTAAGTAAAATGTCTTTGTACACAGTACATATCTAATGCTTTTTCTCCCTCAAGGCTTTATGTTATGTGAGGCTACAGTATTCACCTGCAGAAGTGGTGCTGAGATAAAATCGCTTTACCTTAAGTGAACCCAGGTATAAACAAATCCACGTGCTTAATTTTTACATGAATATTTGAATTCCTTGTGTACAGCAGCAGATCTTCAGTGAAGATAAGTGTTTTTTGAATGCATTGATCTTCAAAGGCCAAAACTGTGAGGTGTATAATACTCTTTAGTACCCCACCTCAGAACAATGTAAGACTCAATTTACGGTGGGACAATAATAAAAGAATATTTGTAAGAAGCGTAAACAGGAATTTTCAGGATTTTTTTATTTCCTTCTCTGTAACACATGCTCAAAAATGAGAAAACAAAAAATGGAAATCTGTGTGGATTTTTTTTTTTATCTAGAAAAATATGTCTTCATATGTCTTAAAATTCTTGGGATGTAGTATGTCCTTTGCAGTGACCTATGCATGGCAGGTTTTATCTTTTCTCTGTTTTTGTTTTCCATCAGCTCCTTGCTCTGGTGGTACGTTTGATCATCCCATCTGCCAGTGATCATTATTAAAAAAAAAAAAAAAATCCAAATTTTTCTTAATGCTTTAAAGTGCATTTTTGACATAGCAGATGATTGGGCTTCCAGAGGTATGTAAATGATTCACAAAAAAATACCATTAGGTTTCCAGGATTGCTTAGGAATTAAGTGGAATAGATTTGGGAAGTTAAAAATTTTCTACTCGGAGTTTTTTTTTTCCCATCACCTACTATCAATATTCAACATACTTACTCAGAAATCAAGAAACTCACATACCTCTTCCAGTGGTTATTTCATCATTGCTGTGTTTATATCTCAGCAAAAGGATGGTGATAATCTGCAGGGGTATTTCTGAGAATGCTGTGGATAGTTGGCCAATGGATGTCTACTTAGGTTTAATGCGCCAGTCTCCTGCTGTCAGGATAATAGCCATCATTTACACAATCCATATTTCTTTTTTTCCAGGCATACAATATTTGCAAGCAACACTTCATCGTTGCAAATCACACAGTTGGCTAATTCAACCACCAGGCAGGACCGATTTGGTGGTCTCCATTTCTTCAATCCCGTGCCTATGATGAAGCTCGTGGAGGTAGGCATCTTGTAACGTCACCATCGTAACCACTGTAGCGCAGCAATGCCATTGTCACTGCTGTGAATTCAGTTGGATGAAAGAGCAGGTCTGTTTGCAGCTCTCCTGGTATGGAATAAGTTACTGTTATTGATAAGGGGATGGTGCAGTCTTTGTTGAGGGGCACGTTGAAAAGGCAGAGGTAACTCTTTCGATCTCAAGGCTCCAAAGTTCTCTCTCCCCTGCCCTGCCAAGAGCAGTGCTGTTTACAGTGATCTATTCAGACATGCAGGCAAGCTGATTAATCAGAACTACTGAGAGCTTAAACAAAATCATCTGATGACTGACAGAGGAATTTGATTGTTACCAGTTTAGACATTGATACAAAATAAGATGAAATCTTGCTGCCTTGTGGCTTGTGAAACAGTCAGTCATGTTTGTTTCAATGTTCCAGATGATTTGTCTGAAAGTATTACAGTATTTCCCGGCCTTTAATGAAGGGTAAAAAGAAGTTTTTATGTAACTCTACAGATGTCTTTTCTAAACATACTTTCTTTGGCTACATTATGCAATTTCTAATAATATTGCAGTGCAGAGCAGAGTAAGAAATAATCTGATAGAAGAGTTTATCTAAGTCTTCAAAGTAAAGTACACATTGCAGAAAAAATGACAGGCCTCTCATCTCCTTTTTCTCACCTTCCCCTGTTACCCCTGACCTTCATCAGCTAGAACTTAAGCTCTAGAATAAGTGAAAATAAACTCTGCATTTTCGCTACTCTGCCCCAAAGTTTCATGCACTTCATACATTAAATGCTGTAAATCTTCTTCCTCTGACCCATAAGTAGTCAGTTCTAGTATTGCTTTGGTGGCAAGAGCTTCAAATATGTTGTGCCTGCTTTTTGAACTCCTGAGGTTCACTTTATTATTTTTTTTTCTTCTTTCCTATTGTAATATGTATTACACAGCTGCTTGCTCTGTCTTTGAATGTACCATTCTCTCCTTCCCCCTTTTGATATGTTTGAACCTTTTGGCTGAAATGAACACATTTATTCAGTGTATTGTTGTCCAATGAAGGCTTGGACACTTGCAAATTTCTCTCTTCCTAACTCTGTACCCATGTGGATTTTTTTTAGTTTAATATTGCATCCTATATACTGTGACTAAATATTCTGCGGAAATGGTGTAAGAAGGAATGAGAGGAATATTATAGGTGTTGTCAGACGTAACAGAAATCTTTACCATAATTCCTTAGGCTAACATAAGCTTTATTGATTTCTGTGCTAAGAACTACTTGTTGGCAGTAATTTATTTCAGTGGAGGAAATGTCCTGTGCCTTGTCTCAAGCATAAACCAAATTATAGTCTTTAGGAATCTAAACTAAGCCTCTGTGAGATTTGAAAAATACAGAAGGTATCTATCATTGTTTGTAAAAAAAAAAAAAAAAAAACAACCCCAAAAAACCAAAATAAAAAACCCAGACCAGAGCAATCCCTGTCTGGCTGCTGTGCTCAATCTTTTTAATTTGTGTGGTTTTTCACCTGTCTTGTGGACATTCTACCCCAGTGTCACTCCAGGTGATGAGTAGTATTTGAAGAACTTTAAAACACTGAAGCTGTGCTTCTAGTGACTTGATCTTGAAAGGTTCCAATATTAGTAAATAAATACACTTTTTAAAGCTTTGTTTTTATTTCAGCTCTACTGGTGTAAATCTGGATTGACAGTGACAAACACCACAGAACAGCATTTGCTATGTAAAACAGATGTTTCAGTTTGAAGTAATTGGGGGAAAATCAAGAGAATTGCCAAAACTGTGAAAGATATTACTGAAATTGCCAGTCATCTGTCATGGAATCTGTCCTTCATGGGTGACAAATGTGCAGTGCTTTTGAGTGTTATCTGCTCTTTTCACAGATTATTGATCTCATACTTAGAAGCACACAGCTTTGGGAGGATTTCTTTTTCTAGTAATCCAAAAAGCTAGTGCCAAGGATTCAAAATTACAAAATGCCTATTAAAAACTTGTTCTTTAAACTGTTGCAGTCTTATGGAAGAATCTCAGATATTTTAATTTAATATCAAAGAACACTTGTTTCTGATGAGAAGCAAGCATTTTCCTTGGTTCTAACAGCCTGGTTTTGTGTTGGCCTTGCTGCAGGAAGAGGGGCGGAATCTCTGTGTGACCTAATGGTATGAACAAGGAGGTCACCCTTAACTGCTCATGTGTAGCAGCGTTCAGTTGCTGCACACAGAGTTCAGTTTCAACAGAAAATTACAACCAGTTCAGCTTGTGCAAGTCTTTTTTAATTTCTTTTTGGGGGGTGAGAGGAGAGGAGGGTAGGTCTCTAATAAGTTGTTTAAGGCATTCCAACTCCAGTGAAGTGTAGAAAATACTACATGTAACGAAAGACTCAATTGAGAAGAAAATCAACATGGAAACATATTACTCAGAAGCTAAGAGGCTATCACAAATTTGAAAATAGATTTAAAATTTTCTTTAGAATTAAATGTCTGCATCATGTTTACATTGGGCACAGGGTAGATGTTACAACCCTTTATATCAGGAGCTATGTCTGTTAATGTGGTTCTCTAGAGTGATGCCATTGTGTTTCCCAAGACAACAGACTATGTAGCTTTTAAAGTTATTTTGTGATACTTGTTGTATACATAATCTCTAAATATGATTCCTAAGGATGGTTACTATTACCATCCATAGTGGGAAAGTGTCTTAAAGAAACACTTAATTTCAAAATGTGCAAAATATTGTATCTGTCTTTAAAATAGATTTCTGTGTCTGTTACACATGTATATCCACTGAACTTGTTTTTTTGCAAAACAAATGTTTTGTGAATTTCTGGAAGAGTGTTCTGGATTACAGTTTAATAGTTGCTGTACTGGGAAATGAGAGAGATTCTACTCTCAGATGTGCTTACGCTCTCCCCACCTTCCCTCTGCTCAGGTCATCAAGACTCCAATGACCAGCCAAAAAACTTTTGAATCACTTGTGGATTTCAGTAAAGCAGTAGGAAAGAGTCCTGTCAGTTGTAAGGTGAGTACATTTTGATTGTATAGTGTTCTTGAAAACTGTTAAAGTAGTAGGTTTTAGTAAATGTAAGAGCACTTAGTAAGCTTTTCCAGGCTGCTTTTTGTCCAGTTTCTCTTCAGTATTAAAAGCATTTTGACAAAGAAAACACCCACATTTACCTCAAAGCAGAATGGCTCTAGACAACCTGTCTAGAGCAGTAAAATTCACAAGTATAAGTGCTACAGTTTTGGTTTTTCTTTCCAGTTCTGCAGAAGCCTGGGCTGGAGAGCTTAAGCAGGAGCTCATCTTTAGCCATGCTAGAGACAAGATTGCTATCTTCTGTGCTGTAAGGCAGCTGGATGAATCCTCCATGGTGTGTGCTTACTGCAAGTTTTTCTTAAGACTGCAGTAACTAGACCCATATTAATCTTCATTGCTTTGCAGCATTGTTTTTTTTTCTCTAGAGAGACACTCAACTTCCTAAGAGTACTTTTTGCAAATCCATTAAGTTGTGGTCTGGGTAGCTTTGTGCAAGCTATTGCCTTGCGTTTCACAGCCCCCAGGAGACATTTGGTCATAAAAAGAAGGGCCTGCAATCTGGTAGTTACCAGATTCACCATCTGGATGCTGGATTCTAATTCAGGCTGTACTGCTAAATTGCTCTGTGGCCTTAGTTGACTTTTTTCCTGTTTCTGCCACAGCTTTGCAGTATGTGATATGCAGAATATATGATGAATTATTGTTATGAATTAGCTTGGGTAGAGGGTAAAGCAGTCTTCATTTTTGATCCTTTAAACTCCTTTTTGTGGAAGAGAATTTGCTTGGAATTCTCTCTATAAAATACTGAAATAAATCTGAATGAATAATAAATATCTGAAACAGTAGCAGTGTACAAAATAATACTAAATTTGCAAAGCACTTTCTCTTTCTTTGTATTTTGGGTTTTGATTAAAGCTTGTGTAAAAGAAGTTCTGTGTTAGTTTGTTATCTTCTGGCAGCATGTATCTTATCTTTTCGTTGATACCATTGGTGTTTGCTATTGAAGTGATCCTGACTTTCAAAAGCATTAACAGTGAGCAGTGGGGGAGAAGTAGGCTTTTTAGCCAGGAGTGTTTCTGGTAGTGAACAGACGAGTGTTAGGTAAGAACTGCTCTTCTCATATCCTTCAGGAAACTGTATCAGCAGAATTTTGCTAAAGAAAAGGCATTTGCCAAATGGCCACATAAACTGTTTTAAGATTAATTGAGTTTGGCTTTTAGTAGTCTTATTGTTCTCAGTCATGATGAATGTTTATGTGTCATTCCTTGTTTGTGAAGTTCATCTTTTGTCTTTTAATACTGAGCAGATAAATTGGATGAAAAATACAATTTAGAGAGTACCAAGAGTCAATGATTCGATAAGTCTCTTCATCCACTTGTTTAATTAGTTATGCAGCTTTGAGTGTAGTACTGGTACAGAATGTTTATTTAGAATACCTTTTTTTTTCTTCTTGTAGGATACTCCAGGGTTTATTGTGAACCGTCTCTTGGTGCCATATATGATGGAAGCTGTTCGACTCTTTGAGAGAGGTACTTGATGGGACATCAGCTTCAGGGAATGTTGACATAGAACACTGTGAAATGTTATATCCCTTCAGAAAAGCCTTGGGATTCCCTCAAAACTTTCAGACCTTACAGGCTGGAAGTGAATTGTGAACATCAAATATGAGCTAATATTTGTCACTAGAAAGACCTTCTCTGCACTTTGAAGTATCAGTGTATGCAGAGTCAGAAGGTACTAGTTACTTGTATGGGAAATTTCTGGTGGTGGAAAATGTTTCTGGTTTGGAGATGACAAGGTGAGTGTCGTACCATTGTAAAAATATCCTCTGCCAACTAATCAGGAACCTCCCTCTCTCTATCCTGAAAGATGTTAATGAAAGTGATTGAAAATCCCATAATGGGACCATTAGCAAAGTTCTCCTGAGTTCTCTTATATTTGGCTTGTGAAATAAAACACCAATTTTCAGGTGAGGTAAGTAGTGTAATACTCAGTGTCAAACTGGTACAGGTATGCAAATGTTTGGGTTCATCTATTGCCACATAAAACCTCCTGTTTCTCTTCTATGTCTTCTTTTAGACATAGGTTCTTTAGGAACTCCCATCTCACTCCTGGTCTCTTCTGCTTTGATACTGACGGTGGTTGGAATAATCAAAAATCCTCAATCAATAATCAAAAAATCAAAAATCAAATAACCACTGAATTTTTCCAAGCAAATTGATAATTGTTTTGAAAAAGAAACAAGCCAGTAATTTAGTGGATAAAGAGGAAATTATGGAGTATAATTGCTTTTATTTCAAGTGCTCTGCTTATAGTTCTGTGCTACTAAGAATGGCATTTGAAACATTTTGTTTCTGAAACCTTTTTTACAGATGAAAGCACTCCATTACGAAGATTCCCCAAAATATGCTTTAAATATTAAATACTAAAAATCTCTTTCATAGCACATGGAAGGGATGGTTTGATCTCCAGAAAAAAAATAAAATAAACCAATGCTACTTGTTTATCCATCAGCAGATACCTAATTACATGTCAAAAGGAGAAAAGAAAGAATTTAGTGACTTGAAAGGCAAAGAAAGGCATGGATTTGAGGGGCCATTATTCTCTTAGAAAAAGTCACAATATTAAATAAAGTGTATGGGTGTTCCAGTGCGTGTAGAAGAGGTGCCTTTGTTACATGACGTGTATCATTGTACATATTTCAGGAGACAGTCGAACTTTTCATTAAATGTAGAAGGAAACAGTCACTGAGACTGCATGTTAAAACTGACTTTTGTGCAGAAGCGAAACAATATTTTGATTTAATCTTTATTCTGTTTGTATTTTGTTTATCAGTATCATATTTCCAAACTTGTTAAAGTGAATTTATGAATTTTTAGCTCAAAGAAATCTATTTAAAAAGCTGGTTAATGTTTTGAAAAGCCTGATGGCTGTCTTCTAATTGTTATTTTCCATTGAATCAGGTTAAATTTTTATCAGCTCCTTTGTGTTAATTCTCAGAGTAGACACATGAGCCAGATTGTCATCCACATTAATATGAAATAGGATCTCTTTCCTGGCAACACCAAGCGCTGAAATACCATTTTATTGGGTCAGTCCTTGAGTCTTTATTTATACAGAATCTCCTTGGGTTAAATGTGTGCTATTCCATAGGTAAAATACCTTTAGTATATTAACAGTGAATTAAACAGGGGACATATTCTAAATTTTAATGTATAGTGGTCTCTACTGCCCTGTTCTGAGTGGAAACCCAAGCAGTCAGTATAAATTTTTATGGAAGTCTCCTTCATCCTAGGAGACTAGTATGACCTAGGGTACTACCTAGGTACTTTTTTTGCCCTTTTACTGTTTTCAATTGTGTTGTAGGCCAGCTGTAGACTGTCAGGTGGCCACGTCCCAAGTTTGACAAACAAAATGGGACAAATCTGTTGATAAGTAATGTACTTCTGCCTCAACTTCAGATGAGTTGAGGGTGTACGTATGTCAGAATTTGGGAACTGAAATGGTTAGAAATAAGTAAGGCTCATTTTTCCAGTTCTCCAGAAATAAAATATGCTTTAAAAAAAAGTAAAAATATCAGCTCTAAAGAGTAAAAGGAGATACATAAAAATTACTACTTCATACAGAACTGTCACTGAAGTTGTTGCCTTTCAAGGGATTTTGAAAATTAATTTCTGAGATTCTCTGATCTTAGGTGTATAAATTTCATAGGCTGTGTCTGCCAAGCTTTTGGACACCCTGAATGCCTGTACGCATCAAGCATGGAGGTTACTTAACAAGTACCTATGGGGTTTGTTTAACTTCATCCTTCTTGTAGAATCTGCAAAGAAATGCACTGCTTTTATCAAAATGGGTATTAAAAATAAGCAGTAGAGGTTCATCTGCTTTCATGACAGTATAAAATATGCATTCCCAGCAAAAGAACGAGGTGAATAATAACTGTGACAATGTGGCAATGCAAGATTTCTATTTTTATAAGCATAGACTCAAGTAAAAGTAACGAATTTCTGATAATTTTGAATTTGATTTATATAAAA